AAAATGTAAAGTGAAAGATACGGTATAGAGAAACCAATAAAACTAAAATATACATGCAATCTCTAAAATCAAGTGGAAATAGTAACATTTTTATCAAATCTTAGAAATAAAGCCTGGAAAAAAAGTGCTTTGTCAGCAATTTAGAAGTGTTGCACTTGGTCATTTCTTGTCATGACTCATTTTAAAAAGCACTGAACTATCTACAGGGTGCTATGTCTTTGAAGTAGCTTGGTGAACATGATATCACCAGAACAGAATTCTATAAAAAAAAAAAAAAAATGCTGGTTGCTACAGATTCCTTAATGGAATTCAGGAAAAGACAACTCTACAATGGTAATTTATAATATTAACAAAAATCTACTCTAATTATAGAAGTGATGGTGAAGTATATCGGATCAAACTTGATCGTCTCTGTATAAATATGTTGAAGGAGCTACACAGAGAAAAGAATTCATTGACAATTCCATACTTCTACATATATATCATATATATTTGTTATATAAACTTGTTATAAACCATAAAATCGCATGCATATAGTCCCACTGTGATGGAGGTATACACAGTACAAAAAGTGATGTGTGTATATCCAAGTCTTACCATCTCTTGAGTAGCTAAAACACTCTTGGGTTTTTCCTTATGATTGCAAAATGTAATGACAAATGAAAATTAATCATACATTAAGAAAAAGCATTACGTCCTGTTGTGATGCCAAAATATAAAACACTTAAAAATGTTGTTAAAAATGTTGATAAAAAAAATGATGATGAAAAATTAAAAGTATAAATTTTTATGAAGTCACTTGTTAGCAATGTTATTAAGTTTTGTGTTTGTTGGATGGCAATTATCTCATGAATTAATAGTTTTTAAGAATTGATTCATTTGTATTAAGAAAATATTTAGTCAAATGGATCACACCATTTTTGATGTCATTGATGTTAGAATATTTATTCTTATATGATGTATTTGTATAAGATTTTTACAAATCAATTCAATTAATTTAATCCGATTAATCAAGACACTTAATTTGCAGAACAGTATTTAGTGAAAGCGTGATGTTAATTATTTACTGAAAATACATGCTTCGTAATGTCTGTGATTGATCCATCAATATACAACAGTACTAGCTTCAGTCAGATAAACTACTACAAAACACGTCAGATAAAACTGATGAAGTCAAACACAACAGACATATAGTGTAGAATTCAAAGTAACCACCAGGTGTTACAGCAGAGTTTTCCCCCCTGATAACAATATTTCTTAACATTATTTTAACTAGGATACACTGGACAGGATATAGATTTTTTTCAGTTACATATAAAAAATTGAAATTAGAGATTGGACAATCCAACAAGCTATATTTTGTACTATGAGACTTCGAAGTAACTTCCATCATTGTGGAAATAATTGGTAAAAGCCAAGTAATTCCAATATGGATATCTATTTATATACTTCCCAATACCACACACAAAATCTGTGAACGTCACTTCATATGTATGTATCATGCTACTGAAATGTGTATCACAATATGACTCGTATACATAGCAAATGTCATGACTGACGGATCATTCCGAAATCATGTGACACATTCTAATTTCATCATGTGACTATTTTTAGGTATCATGTGACATAAATATTTCTCTCATTTCCAAATATTTACTTATGTAATGTTTCAAATGCAACATTTTTACTGCCAAGAAGTGCAACAGCTTTTGTCATGTGATGACAATAAACAATGACATCACTTCCTGTGCGAACACCTTACCTTTTGTTTCACTGTTCTATCCCCCATCAAGCTGGGGCTCTGTGGCTTTTTTTTGTTATCCTAATTTTACAAAATTGCAAAGAAACCCCAATATTCAAGATCAAATATGAAAATCAAATTATATCAGAACTATTAAATAACTGAACTGTGGATCGAAGCCTCCATATCATAAACAAATATGTGAACCATATCAAAATTGAAAGTAATACTTTACTTTGCATTTTCTGATTCAATCAAGCATGCAATAGCGATAAGGATCATCACTTTATCAAAATTTTTTAATAAGAAATTTATGTAAAGATATCATTATCCCTACTGCCTCTAAAAATATAGATATTCTATTTATAAGATTAAAATTCTAGCTGTATAGTCTTCAGCAGTAAATACAATCTTAGTGTTGACTTTAGCTCAGTGATTAAATACAAGTACAGACTTAGCATTGACTTGAACTGAGTGACTAAATATCAGTACAGACTTAGCATTGACTTGAACTGAGTGACTAAATATCAGTACAGACTTAGCATTGACTTGAATTGACTTGAACTGAGTGACTAAATACCAGTACAGACTTAGCATTGAGTTGAACTGAGTGACTAAATACCAGTACAGACTTAGCATTGAGTTGAACTGAGTGACTAAATACCAGTACAGACTTAGCATTGAGTTGAACTGAGTGACTAAATATCAGTACAGACTTAGCATTGACTTGAACTGAGTGACTAAATATCAGTACAGACTTAGCATTGACTTGAACTGAGTGACTAAATACCAGTTCAGACTTAGCATTGACTTGAACTGAGTGACTAAATTAGCATTAGCATTGACTTGAACTGAGTGACTAAATATCAGTACAGACTTAGCATTGACTTGAACTGAGTGACTAAATACCAGTACAGACTTAGCATTGAGTTGAACTGAGTGACTAAATACCAGTACAGAGTTAGCATTGACTTGAACTGAGTGACTAAATACCAGTACAGAGTTAGCATTGACTTGAACTGAGTGACTAAATCGCAGTACAGACTTAGTATTGACCTGAACTGAGTGACTAAATCGCAGTACAGAACATTAAGATGATAACAATATTCAGGTTAGCCATCATGGACCAGCGGATTTTGGTCAACCTATAGGTGCGTGACTTTGACATAACAGGTTGAAAATATGAATAGTCCGATATCAATCTTGGTCATTGAAAATGGACACCATAATAAGCCTTTCTCTTTACATAATATTTTCTTAATTAATTTTCTTGTTTGTAAGTAAACATTTTTGAACTTTTAGGTATGAAAGCTGAAAAAATACTGATCTATAAATGGAAGAAGATATAGCAGAGGTCAAAAGGTAGATAAAAAGTTCAAAGGTCATGCTCCAGATATGCCATGGAGTTCTGCATGTCAGGACTAGACTATTTCTTGTCATTGATTGCCTTCACATTGGCTACTGGTATATCATGGTGCAATAGTCATAGCTTATATAGAACAAAACATTAATCAGGGGACAATGAAATAGATTAAGATGTGCAGTCAGAAAATTTATTTAGCAACTGTAAAATAGTTGATTTTCTATGAACAAGTAATAATGACCTTGACCTTAAAACCCTGAAACATAAACTCAGCTGATGTATTTCTCCTTGTTGACCTAAATTGCTTCAAGATTTATAAATAATATCGCTTTGAATAAAGTTTCTAAAGTGATAACATCGGTTCAGGATATTCTATTAAAGAATTAAATGACAAAAGCATAAAAACAAATTATATATAAAAAAACCAAGATAAATCAAATCTTATTGTCATACTGAGATGAATAAACAACCTGATGCATGGGTCAAAGGTCATAGAAACAAAGCAGAAGAAAAAAGGATGATTTTATGAGCTGTATATTACAGTATGGAAATAAAGCTATCTTTCCCTGCATGCATAGGGAACAAGATCATTTTTATTTGTGCATTGTATGAACATTATATTAGGCGACACCCATAACCAAAGTAGATCACTACAGATTTGTACTGGGAGAGAGGATAAAAGGTCATCTGGCAGTTAATTAAAGGTCAAATAAAAGTAAGATAATGATGAAAGGTCACGACCTTTCATCTACAATACAGTAATGTTATGTTACTTGTTACTATGGCAACAAGTGTGTAGACATTACCTGGAGATTCTGTAGTGAAAAAAAAACAAATATCACATAGTTAATATCATGTCTAAAATGAAAGATTTGCGCCCTTCATTGAAGTTTTTTTATAGGTTATGAGAAAAATCCCTTCTCTGTAAGTAAAAAAAGAGACCCTTCTCCCGTAAGTAAAACGGTTGTTGTGGAAACAAGTAAGATGTTATAGGAATCTGATTTTGTTTAAAGAAACACTGTACAACAAATCGGCAAAATTTTCAAAGGCTAAAAATTTTCAAAGGCTATGTCATGTAACACCTATTTCAGAAACAGATGTTTAAATGACCTCCAAATTAATAACACTGAAATCAAGTATAGAAAAAATATTTCCAGATGAACATTTTCAAATATTTTACTTTGAGGAACATTTTGGAATGAATTTATTAAGAAAACTTATTTTATATTTATGCGTTTCCCCCCTTTTTGTATTTTATTTAAAATTGTTCAAAGTTAAAAATTCTGAAAAAATGAAACCTGATATTTGCTACTGAAATAAAGATTTAAGTAAAATGATATCTGCATGATGTGAAATTAGACAAACAATGAATATATATATATAGGTGGAAACCAAAACACTATGAAAAAAACCCAAAAAATGATATAAAGAGATAATCCCTCACAAAGGATTCTTTGATACTCAGTACTACAATTCAAATTTCATGATTTATCAATTCAAACTGATTTCAAATGCTTCAGTAAGGTTCTATATCAATGACGCTTTATAAATGACCTTCTAATCAAGTTATCAAAATTTCCAGATGTACAGCTATGTTTAGATTTTATTCTTATTCAACAAAACAAGACACAAATAGAGTCAACTTGAATTTTGTGAGAGATTATTTCATCCATTTATGACAATGTTTATCAAACTTCATGGTTCTTGATCAACTGTCAATCTTCTGACATTTTCTTTAATCAAATCAGTGGCATACAGTTTGATAACATTACCAATCACAGGACTGTCATTAATTACTAAATGATAGGTATATACAGGAAGCACCAAAAGAGTTCACACAGTATATATAGTTTCAACCAATCAGAAGACAGCTTACAAGTGATTTTAGAACCTCACCTTTGCCTTGTCGTCAATTTTGAATGGCTGGATAAGGCTGCTCCAAGTGTACCAGGAGCCGAATTGTTTGCGGATGTATACATGGTCATACACAAGGCCTTTTTTAGGGATCATTAGCCCTCGCGAGAACTTGAGGTCCTTAGGCCTGTAAGGGTGATAGAGGTCAGAGATCAGTGTAAGGTCAGGTAAAGTCACAGAAAAAAATATTTTGATGTTTATTTTTGGAAATTGACTTTAATTGTAGACTAAAAGAGGAAAGAAAACAATAACATAAAATATGTACGATTAAGGAAATATTGCAAAAAATGTCTCCAAGAAAATCTCATGGTACCAGGTAAATGTTGTCTAGGTTTTAGATCATAATTATTTCAGAAATCAACAATCATATTTGGCATTAAAATATCATAGCATACAGGGCTAAATATTCAATTTCTAAAATCATTTTTTTACGTTTTTGTCTTTCATACTAATATAGCTTAGATGTTATTGGAAAGTTCAATGACAAGTTTACTTAAATTCTTTCTGTTTTTATATGAAACTAATAGAGAGAGTGTCAGAACAGCTAGAACACACACAGCAAATGACAGGCAATTGAAAGATGGGAAGATATGAAAATGGGGAAACAGGTGGACTGCATGAGAAAAATTGACAAGAGGGGAGGATGCTCATATTAGAAGAATAATTTAGATAGAAAAGGAACATCCAATTATAGAGGCAGTTAAGAGCTTTTGGTTTGAATGATTTGGCATAAAAAAGGGACAAAATTTGTTAATAAGCATGGCGGAAAGCTGTACAATGTATGTAAAAGGTATATAACTCAAACTTTTCTATATGAAACCTGTATTTACATGGGAAAATATCTGAGGAAATATGGAGGTATCTAGTGCGATGTCCTTACTTTGATAACTGCTTGTGGCAAAGATGAAAACTTGAACCCATAAAAATCATATGTTCACACTGAGCATATACATTACACTGATTATGTGCAGAAATGAATAATACACTGCTTGATAACATGCGATGTCTTAGACAAGGACAGATGACTGTGTGAAGGTGCATGGACATAGAGTACAACATGAATCTATTGATCGAGTAGGCTAGTAGATTTTTACTGTCCTATCTGTTTAGTCTGTTCCTACACTATATCAAACCAGCTTTTTTAGAAACACCTATTTGGTGAAGATTCATGATCCTGTGTCCTGACATCCACGATCTTTGCTTAAATTACATTGATACAACCACAATTTCTAAATTTTGGGACATAAGACATGTTTTTCTGTCTCACCTGTGAGTAACGATATCAATGCCAACAACTGAGCAGAGATGATACCCAGTATTTCTGGTTTGTGAGCCACAAAATCATCAGTAACAGTATTGATCTGAACACTGAGCTTTTTAGTGTCATTTGACTCATTTTTTTTAGGTCGATCATTTGACTCAGTTTTTCTGTGTGAGTGATTTGACTCAGTATTTCCATGTGTTTTGACTCATTGCTTCTGAATGTATGATTTGACTAAGTTTTTCTGTGTGTGGGATTTGAATCCTTGTTTCTGAGTGCGTGATTTGACCTTGAGTTTCTGAGTGTGTGATTTGACATTGAGTTTCTGAGTGTGTGATTTGCCTATGAGCTTCTTAGTCAGCCATTTGGCCTTGAATTTTTCATTTGACACTGGGGCTTCTGACTAGAGGATTAAAAAGACTATTAGCTAAAAAAACTAATGAAGTTATCTTCACTTTTAAATCAGAGAATAATTGCCTGTCAGTTTTATCCACTAAAGAGTGTGTATGAATATATTTAAGTTGTTGGTTTCTGGAAGACTTCAACAACAAAGCTGAAATACAACAATTTTACAACAAAAAATTTGTTTAGAAATAAATGGCAGCACACTTTTCATACCCATTACCATAAAAACCATTACCCCATCACCACCATCTCCCACACTCAATAACACATGTATTCTAGGTGACCACACAAACAGTCTCTTTCTAAGTTTCAGATTTTGCTTGGTGTTGGTAAACCTTTTTCAAGACTTATCAGCCATGAAGCAAATATCAATGAATTAATATTTTTATGAAATTGCAGTTTAAGAATTATTTTAAACAATGAGAAATAATTTGAAATTATTTTGTATAATTGTTTTTACTTTTTTAACTCTCAGGCAGCACAATGAACATTAGATTTACCTCGATATCTTGGTATGTATTGCTCAAAAAATAACAGTCGACAAACAACAGCAACTGATTTCCAGATATCAATATTCTTAAAAATCTGTTTTTGATGCAATGTAATTTCTACAATGCTAATCACATTTTTTTATTTCCTTGTTTCTACATGGTCACCTAGATACAGCCTACACCACAGGGTCCAAACGGTCCCTCTCACTTACCGTGTTATATGGCCAAGTCTGAATATTCAAAGTGTGAGTTTACAGCATATTACAATCTATCTAAGCTATATACCCAAATATAAGAATAATATATAATGACTACTCACATCCATATATAAATGTAATATATATATAAAGCGAAAGGCATCATGTGATTAAAATATACTATATACATAGCTTATACACCAGAGTAGGTAAGCAAAGCATTAGTGTAGCCCCAACTGGTCTTATGTATACAAAGTTCCCGTTAAGATCGAGTGACGTACAGAGATAATACTTCAGATTTTACAATAACTGTGTGAGTTAGGTTGAAATTTGAAGTTTTTTAATCTCTAGCTGTATGTATAACTATACTCAAAGAGAATGAATCTACTGCGAAAGTCAGAAACTGGTTAACCAGTAAATATCACTGGTGATGCTTGGTGTGTCTCGTAATTGAAACTTATTTGGATTAACACAACCTTACTCTTGACTTTTCTATCTAACGTTTAAAGTAAAAGACCTTATATATATCATTACAAAGATTTGATATATTTTTGTCAACGTGGAATAATTGTCATTCTAATCTGCATATAAAGTAATAAAGAAAAGTTTTGTGTCAGGCTAAAAGCCACCCTTCCTGATAAGAATATATTTTACAATCCCCAGACAAGGAAACTTAAGAATCATCACTGTACACGACTAGTTTTAACCAGCTGGTAGTTTCTATTTTCAGATGATGTCTATTTTCATTTTCCTTCAAAATTGTAAAATTTTGAGCTTACAGTGTTCAATAATGCTTTCCAAATTGACTTCAAAGATGTGTACACAAATATTTCAGCAGAAAAGATTCACAAACTGTGGAATAGTGATAGTCTTGTTATGCGTTGTGTTATGCGCTGACATTGCTACTATAAAATCACTTACTACTAATAAATTAGGTATAAAATTTCTCAAAAAGCTTGAAATAAGCAACTAATATTGACAACAAATGACATGGAACAGCTGACACCACAGAAGCCATCTGGACAGGGGGTCCAATGAATTTGGTGCGCATCACCTTTAATTTGGTTTGCACATACAAATATGGTGGTGATTGTCAACTTCAGAGGAAAGTGGTGAGTAAAACATCCCAAGTTCTTTTAATCTGGTCATGTCAATATCATGTTTCAGATTTCTTTCTTCCCAATCAAGCCATAGAGGTTTTACAACATAATAAGCCTTGTCATTCTAAAAATGAAACAAACTACACACATTTTTGAGTTTAGAAACTTCATCTGCCATGATCTTTCATCCAGCACAGTAGCTTTCATTTGAAAAGTGAAATAACGAGGCATGTTATAAAATATCTGTGACACAGTTCTGGGAAGAACACACATTCTTGATCAAAAACATAGTAAGGTCATGACCAGGTATTCTAAAGAACTAAGAAAATGAGGGATTGTTACCACTTACTTCCGAAACAGACAATCAGCACCATATTTATACGTGGAAACCAAATTATGCTCAACACGTACCAGATATGTTGGAACCACTGACAAAGACCTTAAATAATTTGAACAGGTAACAATGCCTGGTCAATTCTGGATTGCACTGTGATGTCAGCCGTTTAAATTATATAATTATAGTGTCGTAAATCTAATTCAAACATATTGATAGTATGTATCATATCACATTTGTCCAATTTGTATTATAATGTGCAAATCTAAATCAAAGTGATGTTATCAATCAAATATCATCCCAAAGTAAATTTTTTAAAAATTGTTCTATAAAGCAACATATTCTTTAAAGTTATATGCATTTGTATATATTTTGTAAGCTGTTAGCTGAATGAGTTATTAAACATATCTGTTCATCCTATGAACAAGGGAGACCACTCACTTTGGATATTTGCTAGTTGTCCCTCCAGCATCTGCATCGCACAAATTTCGGAAAAATTCGTCAAATTTGATGCGTGAGTTGGCATCTAGTGCTCCTCCTACGGACCAGACAATGGAGAAAAAGAAATAGCTGATCAACATGTTGGTACGCTCTTCAATAATCTTCTGGTCATTCATCGACACTGGTTTCTCCTTGGCTTCTTCTTCCTCGTCATCATCCTCAATGATGTCATCATCTTCCTCTTCCTCTGCCCCAATTGCCCTATTGATGGGATAAATTAATAGATATTAACACAAATTGTTTGTATCTTTGGTAGAACACACAAAGAATCAAAACCCTGGTACATCTCCCAGACACACATAAGAACAGACAACCTGTCCCTAGAACATCTCCCAGACACACATAAGAACAGACAACCTGCCCCTAGTACATCTCCCAGACACACATAAGAACAGACAACCTGTCCCTGGTACATCTCCCAGACACATATAGGAACAGACAACCTGCCCCTGGTACATCTCCCAGACACACATAGGAACAGACAACCTGCCCCTAGTACATCTCCCAGACACACATAAGAACAGACAACCTGCCCCTAGTACATCTCCCAGACACACATAGGAACAGACAACCTGCCCCTAGTACATCTCCCAGACAAACATAGGAACAGACAACCTGTCCCTGGTACATCTCCCAGACACACATAAGAACAGACAACCTGCCCCTAGTACATCTCCCAGACAAACATAGGAACAGACAACCTGTCCCTGGTACATCTCCCAGACACACATAAGAACAGACAACCTGCCCCTAGTACATCTCCCAGACACACATAAGAACAGACAACCTGTCCCTAGAACATCTCCCAGACACACATAAGAACAGACAACCTGCCCCTAGTACATCTCCCAGACACACATAGGAACAGACAACCTGTCCCTGGTACATCTCCCAGACACACATAAGAACAGACAACCTGTCCCTGGTACATCTCCAAGACACACATAGGAACAGACAACAAAACCCTGGTACATCTCCCAGACACACATAGGAACAGACAACCTGTCCCTGGTACATCCCCCAGACATACATAGGAACAGACAACCTGTCCCTAGTACATCTCCCAGACACACATAGGAACAGACAACCTGCCCCTAGTACATCTCCCAGACACACACAGGAACAGACAACCTGTCCCTGGTACATCTCCCAGACACACACAGGAACAGACAACCTGTCCCTGGTACATCTCCCAGACACACACAGGAACAGACAACGAAACCCTGGTACATCTCCCAGACACACATAGGAACAGACAACCTGTCCCTGGTACATCTCCCAGACACACACAGGAACAGACAACCTGTCCTTGGTACATCTCACAGACACACATGGGAACAGACAACCTGCCCTTGGTACATCTCCCAGACATACATAGGAACAGACAACCTGTCCCTGGTACATCTCCCAGACACACATAGGAACAGACAACCTGCCCCTGGTATATTACAGGCACACACAGGGACAGACAACAAAACCCTGGTACATCTTTCAGGCACAAAAAACAACAAACTGCTTCTGGTACATCCATCTACCAGACACACAAAGCAACAGACAACCAGCCTGTGGTACATCACTAAGATAGACAAGGGAACTGACACCTCACATCTGGTGCATCTCCAAGACAAAACAACAGACAACCAGCCCCTGGTACATTACTTAGATAATATGTTCCTGGTTAATTTCACAGGCCCACAAATAACTTCTACCTATCTCCTACCTTCTTATCCATCTGTCTTTATTCAATTCGTAATGACATCGACTTCGGCACAACAAATCAAACCATTGTGAAATGATAATAAAAACATCCCTGGATACTGTTACACCAGTACAACCAGTGGTACTTACTTGACATCTTGCATGAGGCAACCATAGAGTCTGAGCAGACAGGTAGTGTAGTGGAGAGGGTGACAAGTCAGGAGAGCCTTACAGTATTTGGAAACATACATCAGGCAGGGAGGCAGCAGCCATTCAAACAGCATCTGTAATAGATACGCAACAGTGTCTGTTCACAACCGTGTCTGTTCCCAACAGTGTCTGTTCACAACAGTGTCATTGTGTCTGAATGTGTCCACAACAGTGTCATTCTGTGTGTCTTCATGTGACATTCTGTCTGTGTGTGTCCACAACAGTGCCATTCTGTCTCTTTGTGTCCACAACAGTGTCATTCTGTCTCTGTGTATCCACAACATTGTCACTCTGTCTTTGTGTGTCCACAACAGTGTCATTCTGTCTGTGTGTGTCTACAACTGTGTCATTCATTGCCAAAACAGTGTCACTCTGTCTCTGTGTGTCTACTTCTGTGTCATTCACTGCCACAACAGTGTCACTCTGTCTCAAACTCAGTACTGTTAGGTTTCTATTTTGATATATTGGTACTGATATACGAAGTTCAGCCTGAAAGTTTTTATACAATTAAGTACTCAGATGACACAAAACTGCCTCAGATGTAATCTTAAGTCATGATTCTAGACTCAGTACTTACATTGATGATGTCACGTTGCTCTGCGTTTAGGTTATCAGGAAGATCATTCTCCATCCAGGACTGGACAAATGGCTTCCAGCCGAGCTGCAGGGGGTCCATGTAGATCATACCACATCTGTAATATATAAATCAAACAATTAAACTTTCTACAACAGTTTCTAACTCTAGAAAAGATCAACTGAAGTTAGTCAATCTGAAATCTCAATATTTCGGAAGGTTTTCTGAACTCTTCTAATTTCTATCCCCTAATCTGCCAGATTACAGTATGGACAGGGCAATGTAAGAATAATGTTATAAAATGTAAATTAACACAGTAGTTATCTCATATATGTTATAGTCATTTTACGGCAGGATGTCTCAGTAGTAATTATTTATAGTGACAAACAGTAACTATTTATAAAAATATTGTGCCCGTAATTTTGGCACTTTAGGGGATAGAAATTAAGGTAGATTTGTCCTCATGAAGTCTGATAAGGGCGAACATGTCGACAAAAATCATAATTAATAGTAGAACCATATTTGGGAGTTGTTGTTTACCCTGTATTGATATGTATACCTATATACAGCATTAGGTAACTGTCTGTGACATGTGACATACATACCTGCTAACTGTGGCAGGGGATGCCTGCTCAAGATCTTGTGGCTCAAAAATCATGTTCTGTTTGTTGCTCATCTGTATAATTTCTCCACTCATCAGACACAGCTAGGAACAGAAATAACATATACATAATGTAGGCATGTAGTTTTATAAGGCTAAACTATAGAACTATCCTGAGGTTTTCATACTTAACTTAAACCAGTATGAAATGTGATTCATGAATATATTATCGATCAAAAGATAGAAAGCTGTGTTAAATATAAAGATAGTCAATATCCTGATTCTTGTTTATCTATAATTCTAAGTCTGTTTGGAAACAAGTTATCAAGATTTGTAAACCTTTTTATTGTCATCCAGGACGGTGTTCATGTTTTCAATCCACACGGCGTCCACAGGCCCGTCAAACACAATCCACTTTCTGAAGTCTGTTGTGCTGGACGCATGCTCACGGAAAGTATTGGCTAATACACCTAAAGTGGACAGATACCTCTTAATATGATAGGAATTCCTTGATTTTTAACAGCGACTTAGGCCTTTCTAAGATAAATATTACACTACTTTAGCCCTATCTCCTCTAATTTTGTTTGACTTTTCTAATTTAAACCAAACACATACAAAGAATTAGAGAAATATTTCACTGAGTAAGTATGATATAACCTATGTTGAGACAGATTTCAATTTGATATCAAATTCTTTCTTACTGAATTATATGATTACTGACGACTTACCATCAAACCATTCGTGAGAAACAGGATCAAATCGTCCATATAACTGGCCCATTGTAATAGCCTTAGGATTGATAATTCTATACTGCACCTAAAAAAGCCAAAGTGATTATAAATAACGCAAAGTATGTATTGCTTGCATAAGTAAAGTATTATCTTTATTATACTTGCTCCCCTCCCTCCCTCCTTTATGTTGGAGAACTCCCCAGTTTTTATGTGGGGAACTCCCCAGTTTTTATGTGGGGAATTCCCCAGTTTTTATGTGGGGAACTCCCCAGTTTTTATGTGGGGAATTCCCCAGTTTTTGCCTCTATATTCAGCTTGAATTATCAGTATACCATCTTTGTAAATCTTCAGAACTTGTTGAAGATAACTACTTAGTTGAGAAGATATCTGTAAAATGCACTTTTCCACGGCTTGGAGTTTTAAAAGATGTGTTCTCCTCCGTGTAAACTCTAAGATGTCAACAAAGAAATCTGTACACAGAGGGATTGCATTAATACTAACTTTCAGTGTTTAAATAAACACCATGTACTTGGATATTAAATTCATTGTCTGTAACTGATATGGATAAATGAGATAAGCTTCAGACAAATTAATGTCTTCTAAACAAAGGGAACTAACCCTGTATATAGCTTACTACTAGTACTAGATATGATTCCAAGGAGGGTGTGTGTGAAGTCAAACTCCACCCAATTTTATTACAAAGAAAGAAAGGTTTTAAAACACTGACATTCCTTCAATCATTTTACATCAAATATCACCAAGCAATTATAGTAACTGACCTTCTTTTCCTCCATCTTGCCACTGGTATTCAGGTCACACAGAGTAGCTGCGAGAGCTTTGAAGGCATTTGTCTTCCCCCCAAGGGGATCTCCAACAATCATCAGACCATGTCTTACCAGGATCATGTCGTATATCTGTAACATGCAGTATATCATATCAGAATATTATATGTTATTTTGCCATGAACATGTTTGGAAACCAAATTATTTTGATTCCAGTTCTTCATTGAACAAATGGACGTCAGATTATGTATTAGTTGTCAGTATGAAAGCAATCAGGGTGACAGATATATAGAATGACATCATTACTATTTACCTGTCATCATAACTATTTACCTGTCATCATAACTAATGACATAACTATTTACCTGTAATCCAAAATGCAACTGTATTAATACAATCTAATAACCATTTAATAATGTACTTACATTTTAATTTAAAGTTTAGTAACATGACTATTTAACTAAATTATAATTTTCCCTGTGTGTTTGATTACTGGAATAGCTACCTGAAAATTGTTATTAAATGAATGATTGAAGTTGAGCTAAAATGTGTGCTATCCAAGGTGACATGCAAAGCATTGACCAATCATAGATCAACATGGCACCAAATGTTGTCAAACTATCATCTTGTAATCTAGAATTGTATCTATACTCGTGTGAATAAATCCAGATGAAATGGAGCTAACGGGAGGCAAAATGTAAGACTTATTTTTGGAAAAGATGATAAATAATTTGATCCTTTAAATAAAATGCTTCCTTGTTAATCACACTGTGCTGAAGTTTCATGATATATTTGCTTGTGGAATGAAACTTTCAGCACTTACAGCATGTAATAAATTGTATTTTGTCTTGTATTTTCCTATTTGATGTGATAATTACTCAATTTTAACCCAATACTATCATTTTTCACCTCTATCACAAAACATTTACCAGCTATACATTTTTTTACCAGTTACCATAATTTACTTACCTGAATGAGTTTTTCCAGGTACCATAATTTACTTACCTGAATGATTTTTTCCCAGTTACCATAATTTACTTACCTGAATGATTTTTTACCAGTTACCATAATTTACTTACCTGAATGATTTTTTCCCAGTTACCATAATTTACTTACCTGAATGATTTTTTACAAGTTACCATAATTTACTTACCTGAATGATTTTTTACCAGTTACCATAATTTACTTACCTGAATGATTTTTTCCAGGTACCAAGGAACAGCCTGGAGACTGCTTTTCTTGAGGTTCTCTATAAGAGCCTCTTGCAAGTCTCCGTAGTCCATTGCTGGAAGTTCTATCCCCGGAAACAGGTCAGATATGATTCCTTCAAACAGTGGAATGTCTTGGGATAAAAACTGAAAAATAATATTACTATGTTTAACAAATACCCACGTTTTTATCTGGCATTCATTATCATACCATTTTAATGTTTAAGTAAAAATAAATTTCAAGATTTACAATTTGATTTCAAAAAGATACAAGCAATGGTTCAGCTCTATACGAAATGTTTGAGATGAGAATTTAATCATTATATAAGGGATTGATTCAGTTTTTTGTGGCCAAACTATTGGAGTTTATAACTATTTTCAAAGACTGCCTCTTCCTGGTCATTACCTTCGGAAGGTTAATATCATTGATTGACTTCAGCACCAACACATCCTCTCTCTGTTCAGGGTATTTCAATTTCAGACTTCCTGCTGCGGTCAACACTGACTTCACCGCTCGCATACCGTAGTCGTAGTGATGTTGTGAAGACAGTAGCTCTGAACACAGTCTATATGTTGCCACAATTTTTGTGGACATGCTGCGAGCGTCTACAAATCCCATGGAATACAGCGATATCTCAGCAATCATAGCATAGTCGGGTACCATCATGGCTACTGTACGAAACAACACTTTTAAATTGTCTGGCAGTTCAGCACGTCCTGCATACCCAGGATTCATAGTGATAAATATTGTACATGTTGGGTCGAGAGAAATGTTTGTACCCTCAAACATAAACATTTTGACTTGTTCAGCAATAGCTCTCTGTATCGTCTGGACTTGCTGCGCGATGACGGATAACACCTGTAAACAGAAAGGAAACATGCAGAAACAACACAGAATACAATATAATAACAGGTACCTAGATCACTCATCTAATGACACAAAATCACTTACAGGGTCGCAGAATCAAAATACTTTAATATAATTTTCAAAAGTGGCATTTTATGATCTTTGACCTTTGCCCATGAAATTCAATTCCAAATACGCTATTTCAGGACATAACCAATTATCAATATCTTTAAACTTTTGATAGTACCAGAAGAATGTCTAAATGACAACATACATATTATATTATTATCATCATTATCAAAGTTTGGTATGTTATGTGTTTAGAGTTCTTTTTAAGCAGGAAACAAGACATATTCCGAATGTGAAATTACAGGTGTAAACATTGGCAGTTATTATAATCCCACTATATAGACCCGTATAAGAAGTATGATCCCAGCCACTATGTATAGACATAAAACTCCCTATAGATCTATATAATCAGTATAATTCCAATGTATATATACAGTTTTCATGATCCTACATTTGATATGTATTCACATCACATTTATTAGAGAAATGACTAGATTTAGGTAAGTAAATGACATACACTTGTTATGGCAGTCCGTTAGCTATTTCATTTTTGCTGGTTATTGTCTGAGAAATTATCACAATATTTACCCACAATAGAAGAAAAGCATATTACCTCCAACTCTATCCTGTTGAATTCATCAAAACATGCCCAGGCTCCAGACTGTGCGAGGCCTTTGAAGAACTTTCCCATGGCCTTGTAGTCAAGGCCGTCTGAGCAGTTAAACACCACACACTGCAATGTCAAACACAAACTAAATTTCCAATACTCCAGACATAGAAATAAATTCATTACTATTATTTTTTTTACATTAAGGAATCACAAAACGATTGAAATAGAAAAGTGATGGAACCATGTTCTGGTCACAATCATTTCAACGTTTGACTTTACCAGTATTTTATATCAAATTTAAAAAGATACTGATCATGTACCTGTTTAGCAACAGCTTTAGCCAGATCTTTGGAGGTCTCAGTTTTGCCAGTCCCCGCCGGTCCCTCAGGAGCTCCTCCCAGATTTAACAGCAGTGCTCCCATGAGGGTTCTGTTGGTGAGAGTACACCATGGTGAAATGTGATTTAGAAAAAAACCTTTCACTATAGATTTGATATTGATACACCTTTTAAATATAGGAAAATGAGTTAAAATATGTTCAAAAGATAAGCTTTGGAGAAAACCTCCCGATATCTTTAGAATAAAAAGAAATCACAACATTATGAACTTAAGGCGGAAAAAAGGTGAACAAAAGATAATACTAATAATGGAAACCTGACAATCTAAAATGAATAACAATGTTTTTCTGAAAATCAGATACCACTTTATCCTGAGAATTTGGGTTTCTTTTAGAAGTTTCAAATGTTATAGTATCTGTAACACCTGTCTGTGATACACACCTGTAACACCTGTCAGTGATAACACCTGTCAGGTATACACACCTGTTGGTAATACACATCTGTAACACCTGTCAGTGATACACACCTGTAACACCTGTTGATGATACACACTTGTAACACCTGTCTGTGATACACACCTGTAACACCTGCCTGTGATACACATCTGTAACACCTGTCTGTGATACCCATCTTTAACACCTGCCTGTGATACACACCTGTTACACCTGTCAGTGACACACATCTGTAACACCTGTCAGTGGTAAACATCTGTAACACCTGCCTGTGATACCCATCTGTAACACCTGTCAGTGATACACATCTGTAACACCTGCCTGTGATACCCATCTTTAACACCTGTCTGTGATACACACCTGTAACACCTGTCAGTGATACACACCTGTAACACCTGTTGATGATACACACCTGTAACACCTGCCTGTGATACACACCTGTAACACCTGCCTGTGATACACACCTGTAACACCTGTCAGTGATAACACCTGTCAGGTATACACACCTGTTGGTAATACACATCTGTAACACCTGCCTGTGATACCCATCTTTAACACCTGTCTGTGATACACACCTGTAACACCTGTTGATGATACACACCTGTAACACCTGCCTGTGATACACACCTGTAACACCTGCCTGTGATACACACCTGTAACACCTGTCTGTGATACACACTTGTTACACCTATCTGTGATACCCATCATTAACACCTGCCTGTAATACACACCTGTGACACCTGTCAGTGATACACACCTGTAACACCTGTTGATGATACACACCTATAACACCTGAATATGATACACACCTGTTGGTAGTACATATACACGCTTGTAACACCTGTATATGATACACACCTGTAACACCTGTCGGTAAGTGGGGTAATGACTAGACGCCCTGTATTTCCCAGGTACTCATAAGCATAAGCTACAGTAGTGGTGATCATTTTCACCAGCACAGAATCTTCTTCAAAGTAATAACGAAGCTGGCTGATCCAGGAGAAATCAACAGGACTGCTCATCTCTAACTTAGCTAGGTTGGCTATCACATCTCGGGCTGTAAATCAAACACAAATGATTGGATATGATATCCCAGCAAAATGATCACTTGAATATTTACATCAGGGCATATGGCAAACGGTACAAAACAATTATTTCTTAAATCACTTCAAAATTCCTTGCTTGAATCTGTCAACAATAAAGGCAGTTTACATTAAAATCTGAATTACAACCTGAGTAAATGAAATGGTTCAAGACAAGATCAATTCAGGATATCAAAAAGTGTGAATCTATGTAGTGTCTTGACCTTATATTCTGAGAGGGCATCTGTACTGACCATAGACATCTATGAACATTCTGATGGGACATGTTTACTGACCATTGATATCTATGAACAGTCTGATGGGACATGTGTACTGACCATAGACATCTATGAACATTCTGACAAGGGATATGTATATAAATCATTGACATCTTTGACCATGCTTTTACAGGGTTTATGTAATGGCCATAGACATTTTATGTTTTGAGATAACATTGTGTACTATGGAGTATGTCTGTATACCAACTTTGGATACCAATGGCCTTTTTAACATGGTAGGTGTACTGAGGATGTGTATACTCACCATGGACATCTATGACAATGAGAGCCTCCAGAGTGATCCTTGCCATCTTTGTGAGGGAACCTCGTACCATCTGTACTACCTCATCTATCTGTTTGTTGCTCTTTGCCAGGTATGGCCCCAGGTAATTACTGTTAATAGCCTGTTAACAGGTGTAAAGGTGTTATATAAAATACATGGATTCTGATAACAAAGAACAAGAAAACAGTAAGAACGAGGTTTTCAGAGTATCCACTACTGATGCCTTAAATATAGCCTCATCAGCATTACAGGACATCGATTATTCATAGCCTCTCTGATAACATGTTTAATCATCATCATTTATCAGATTTATCATCATAAAAAATATAAACATGTGATTATTAGATTTTGAGACAAGAAAATCTCTATATTAACCTATGTAACCTCTATCTTTAAGAATATGACCATAACATTTACTTGTATGACCTCTATCTTTTCCTGTATGACCTTTATATTTACCTGTATGACATTTATCTTTACCAGAATGACCTCTATTTATTTACCTGTATGACCTCTATATTTACCAGTATGACCTCTATATTTACCTGTATGACCTCTATATTTACCAGTATGACCTCTATGTATTTACCTGTATGACCTCTATATTTACCTGTATGACTTCTATCTTTACCCGTGTAACCTCTATATTTACCTGTATGACCTCTATATTTACCAGTATGACCTCTATATTTACCTGTATGACTTCTATCTTTACCTGTGTAACCTCTATATTTACCTGTATGACCTCTATATATTTACCTGTATGACCTCTATATTTACCTGTATGACCTCTATATTTACCTGTATGACCTCTATATTTACCTGTGTGACTTCTATCTTTACCCGTGTAACCTCTATATTTACCTGTATGACCTCTATAATTACTAGTATGACCTCTATATATTTACCTGTATGACCTCTATATTTACTAGTATGATGTATTTACCTGTATGACCTCTATATATTTATCTGTGTAACCTCTATTTTAACCTGTATGACCTCTATATTTACCTGTATGACTTTTATCTTTATCAGTATGACCTCTATATTTACCTGTATGACCTCTATATTTACCTGTATGACCTCTATATATTTACCAGTATGACCTCTATATTTACCTGTATGACATCTATATTTACCTGTATGACATCTATATTTACCTGTATGACCTCTATATATTTACCTGTATGACCTCTATATTTACCTGTATGACCTCTATATTTACCTGTATGACCTCTATATATTTACCAGTATGACCTCTATATTTACCAGTATGACCTATATACTTACTTGTGTAACTTCAGAGGTCCAGTGGATCTGACTAGCAGCTAGCACTATCTGTCCTGGCCACTGTAACACCCACTCACATCGTGGGTTGTTGGGATATGCCTTTACTGCTTTGACAGATACTTCCCTCAGACTGAGTTTCATCACATCCTCAACCTGTCATCAATCACCATTAAAAAGAGAAATTTTAAAATGTATCAAAATATAAAAAAAAAAAAAATAATAAATAATTGATCCTAACTTAGAATTTAAGCAAATAAAAAAAAAAAAAAACACTTTTCAAACAAGATTTGGATGGAAACAAAACACCCCAGAATTATTGATAAATAGATTGTAATACCAGTCTGGAGTCTGATATTATGACAGTATTTTACCTGTAACAACCATCGCTCCACAAGGCCACAGGCATCGGCAGGGATGATGGTCTTAGAGAACTGCACAACTTCCTTCTCAGCAGACTCCATAGCAATGATAACCTTGTCAAGGTCGAAGCTGAGCTGGGCGATGCCCTCGAAGCACTTCTTTAGATGAGGCTGAACTCTCAGAGGATCCTTGGTCTCAGAGAGTATCTCCAGCAACTCGTCGTTAGACAGGAAGAAAAACCTGGAGAAACAAGATAAAGTCAGTACTTTTTGGTGATACTCTTTACTCTTAAAAGGAAAGGTTTATGTTTAACATTGGATGAACTCTCACATTAAATGTTGTCAGAAAATTGTATTTAAAAAAATTGTATATGGAAAGAGTGAATTCACTGTATGATGACTACATTCTGACAAAAATAAACCCCGAGGGATGTTTTATATGATGTATGTAGTTAATAATTGTATTGGCAAAACTAATCAGTGAACAGACCAAAGGCGTCAATTTCAATTTCAAATTATTTCCGTAAGTTATACAATTTATTGTATAAGTAACAGTTCAAAAGACAAAGACACTCACACTCTTACCATCATACACACTTTGTCACCATTCATAACGTTGGTGTAATGTTTTTGGAGGAAACCACGAAAATACTAATTACAATAAATCTTTCCTAAGTTTATTTGCTGATGCTAGATATTTTCGTAAATTATTAAGTTTTTTTTTACATTTTCAACTTTGAGTAACTGAATGAATTTGAACATATAATAGTTAGAACTGTGGGGACAAAATTGGCAGCAGTTCCAAGGGTGTGTACTTTCCATAAAATACAATGTATCAATTAATTTACTACCACAGTGAATACCCAGAGAGGAGTATTTAACTTCATAAAGAGATCACAAGACCCATCGTGTTCAAAAATTGTAACCTGGGTGGACTAAAATGTTTAATTTCTATCAAAATTAAGATTCGAGTTGAACATCACACTACTGACCTTGGAAAGAACAGTCTCTTCTTCTCCAGGTAGTCATTGAGGCCTTTCTGTATGTCATCCAACATAGACTATAAAGACAAAGGAAACATCAATTTTCTTCATTTCTCTCATATGATTAATGTATTGTCTTTTTAATGGGTTTTTTAATGACTCTACTCTGATAGAAATATTACTTAGTCTTTTTCGAGGGATTTTATGACATTCATCTTGTATTTACTTCATAACCAAATTACTTCACTAAATGAAAACCAAGAAATTGACCATTTAACTTTGAACTATTCTATTCTATTTTTTATTTCAAATCCATCTGACCTATTTCCCTTAGATGAGACTAGAATATACCAATTAAAATCCAAGCCTCTGTGTACATTTCACAAAGTGACTCTGACCTACTATTACAAAGTAAATTTTTTTTAAAAACTTCTAGATATGTGGTATCAATAATGAGATAATTTCCAGTTTTGGTGTGAATCGATAGCTAGACTGACAGGCAGAAAACATGATCAAATTTATACCAAGGGCACCTTGAAGGTTCTTAACCTTTTAAAATTAAACACAATTTTTTGTCCTTTATTAGCAAACACCTACCTCAGACTTCTGTAACTTTTCCAGCATCTGATCCTGTGAGCACACCACCTGGGCCTTTGTATTTTCAACAGCATGCTCCATAATGGTTTTCCTGTTGTAGAATATGACTCAAATTACCTTCTTTTCTCCTAAAAATTTTTTCCAGCATTTTCAACTTTGATAATTAATGTCATCCCACAATTGTTGAATACAACACTATACATCTATCATATCCAGAGAGACAGGATGCAGTGGTTTACAAAACTTTCATGGATTTTTTGTCAGTTCAAACCCAGATATGTAATCCTCCATATGACTTTCAAACAGAATACTTTACTTTGTTAAATCTTTCTTTTCAAAGATGAAGTATTATCTTAGCACATGTGTAGGTTCGATTGAGTCCAATACTGCTAAATGGTATATATTCTTTGGAGAAAAATCTAGTTTCAAGAAAAATATTTTGTGAATACTTGCTTTTGTGTATATAAATAATACCTGGGAAATCCCCTAATACTAAATATTCTTATCATATCTTTTACAGTTTATTAATTGATGAACATATGAATATGAGAATTACGAGTACTCAACAAAACCAATAAAAACTCTACAAAAATGACTGATTTTACAGTAAAACATTCTTTCACTTCACGTACGTTGACAGCTGTTTAAAATTTCTATCAGTTATCATTTCTGTTAAGAAGGAACAAATGATAAACAAAAACACTTTATTCTCTTCAAAATAAAAACCATGAGAGCTGATGTCTTACCAGTGTTCGTCTACCTCCTCAAAAAGTTTGCCCTCTACTGGGATCTGGTTTCTTATATCTTGTGAGCCAAAGATTGGTTCAAGATATAACCATGCGGCTTGCACCTTTAGCCACGAATCTAAAATATCTTTCATACGATGCTAAAATAAAAGAATAAGACATAGAGTCAGAAATTGTGATTAAAATTTAGGAATAGCTCTTTGCTTGCGGAAGTTGACGATGTAACGATGGTAAATTTGATATGATGACATACTTTGTACGAATTAATTCATTCACCAAAAAAGGTATATTTAGATAAGATGTTTCCATGACAATAAGAATACTTACAAGGCGGATGTCCCATTCATTGATCTGTGTTTCAAACGGACCTATGAAGGGAGATCCTTTCATGGTTGTTGTCTTGACGATGTGATCGTCAAGGAGAACCTGTATTTCGTCTGGTGCAGAAAGAATATTTATTCCCGAATCTTTGTACGGGACGAAGCCGAAATGCATGTTCTCCCAATCGTCCTTCATCTTTGTCAGAGCCTGAAAACAATAAATCATTATGGTGGAATGCTCTGACTGACTGTACATGTAATGTGTGCTGAAAAACTTCTACCATTTTTTATCCTTTTTTTAGACCTAAATCTTATTCAAGTATTTTGTGTTTTCTAAACAACAAAATTTAATATTGTACCTGCGTTTCTATTTTTTGTTTTCAAAACAACATTATATAAGAGGCGTACCTTTTCGAGGGCAAACTCTTTGCTGGCTTGAGAGCTGATTTCCATAAGAACATCTAAGTATTTATCCAGCTCCATTTGCAGAACCTCTATCAGGGGCGTCTCTTCAGACGGCGCCATGTTAAATCCAACCTTTGATAATATTACATCGATGCATCAGAATATTTCACAAAAATAGATTATAGATAATTACAATTTTAAAAAACATTAACTTAGATATAAAACATTGTCGTCTGTTGTTAACATTGGTTTTACATTGAATGATTAATATATACAAAATAGTATGTCATAATCCTTGTTGTATGCTTTATCTCTGCTACTTTCGTCAAACTGTATGAAACCTAAATTGAATTTTTTTTTTCAATCTAGTTGTGATATATGAAAATAAACATCAATATGTGGAAACCCAGGATGCCGATGTGCATCACGTTTGCATCGTATAACATCTTCAGAGTTTAGTGTTAACTACATATTACACCAACATCCATCAATGGATGCTTTGACCACAAAGCGAGAATTTTTAATTCTGTATTGGTTTTGTACCTTCTCATTCATCATATCCCAGTGCCGTTTCTTGATACCAGGATTACACAGGGCATTAATCAAGGGCATGTTGATTTTGAATTTTTCAAGCTTTGATTTGATAGAGATGGATGCCCTCATTGGTCCCTTGAAATCTGGGTGTGCGAACTGCTTGGTGAGTTTGTAGGCAGTTCTCCATAGTGATTGTACCTAGTGACAGAACAGCAATTGTTTCCAAGTAAGATATAAATCATAACACGCATTTTGAAATTCTGAATTTTGCAAGACACTCATCAGACATGACAACAATGTTACACCATTACTAAATCAAACACATACATACCAAAGTGAGGGAAAACACCCCAGATTTGCCCCTCTATATGGTGAGTCATAAGTAAGAAATAATTTCTATGATAATGTATATTTCTTCAACATTCTATAACCAACAATCACTAACCTCTTCCTCAACGACCTCAGCATTGACCTCAAGGAGAGGCCCGTTCATCCATTTGTCATGTTCCTTGTGGAAGGTAACTGCAGTGTTCCATAGTTTCTCGTATGGCTCACGAGCCACCATGATGTCCTGGATCTGATTGTATGGTGTAACAGACTCCAGTTCCAGCAACTGTTCCTCGCGGTTAATCTTCGCTTTCTGCCCGAACATAAAATACAAAGTGAATGAAAACCATGATTTTCATTTAGGCGATTTTTTTGTATTTTGTTTTCGGAGAGCAGGCGAATATCAATCGTAGGATAGGATATAAAAGGTACATTTTACCTATGGCCACTAGTCAGGTGGTATGTATCACGTACATGTTTCACTCCAAAATACAGACAACAGAAATACACCGAAATATAGTTCTATATTGTTACTAAACATCAACAAAGAACAATAACAATAAGCAGACAATACTTCCAGTGAATTACCTCCCTTACAACTATGGCAGTTATTGGTGGATCAGTCTAGTGTGACATGCGACTTGCATATTATGCAATGCCTGATAAACAAAGGGACATAACTCTTTATTTAATTTGGTAGTTATCAGACTCAAACAAGCAGCTTTAGTCATTCTATGCTTAATACCAGTAGGAACTAATTGTATATTTGATGGTACACTGATGGGTGATCTCAAAATAAAATCTATTCAGTATTAGAAGGTACATTGATGGGTGGTCTGAAAAACCTTTAATTAAGTATTAGATGGTACACTGAGGGATGATCTCGAAAACCTTTCATTCAGTATTAGATGGCACCCTGAGGAGTGATCTCAAAAACCTTCCATTCAGTATTAGATGGTACAATGAGGGGTGATCTCAAAAACCTTCCATTCAGTATTAGATGGCACCCTGAGGGGTGATCTCAAAAACCTTCCATTCAGTATTAGATGGTACACTGAGGGGTGATCTCAAAAACCTTCCATTCAATATTAGATTGTACATAAATGGGTGAGCTCAAAAACCTTTCATTCAGTATTAGAAAGTACATTGATGGGTGGTCTCAATAACCTTCCATTCAATATTAGATGGTACATAAATGGGTGAGCTCAAAAATCTTTCATTCAATATCAGATGGTACACTGAGGGGTGATCTCAAAAACCTTCCATTCAGTATTAGAAGGTACACTGATGGGTGGTCTCAATAACCTTCCATTCAATATTAGATGGTACATAAATGGGGGAGCTCAAAAACCTTTCATTCAATATTAGATGGTACACTGAGGGGTGATCTCAAAAACCTTCCATTCAGTATTAGAAGGTACACTGATGGGTTGTCTCAATAACCTTCCACTATTGTCTGCATACCTGATAATCTCTTCATGAAACAAACTTTAACAGATAGATAAGTAAACTGCCACACAACACCAAACATATCCGTTGCCCTCTTAGTCTGACCTAAGAAATGATACTTGTATCAGCACTATAATAACAAAGTAGCTGCACTCTCTATTAACCTCCTCCAGGAATCCTTCCAGTCGCTGTTCTATATCACGAAGATCCTGAACATAATTCTCTGCCTCAGACATTCGGTCTCGGTGCGCAAAGCTAGCCACTTGTTTGGCAGTCTCGTCCAACTGATTCTGGAAATTCTTCTTTTTGTCTCGTAACTTTTGACAGTAAATGTCATGTTCCCGCTGAAGTTTACTTTCCCTGAAATAAAAACGTCATGAAAATTAAAGGTTCTCAAAATATGACACTAAACTGATGATAAAGAAATCACTTCTAATTTCTCTTTATGATATTTGTTAATGAATGACCTTGACCTCTGCCCCTGACTAAAACCTTGATCTTTGCCCTTGACTTACGTGTTTGTGATGATGGGGACAATACGGTCTGCCCAGGAGAAGGTGCTGTTGTTGAGGACTATATCATCTTTCGGTAGATATGTATACTCCAGTAAAAACATAAGGTTACCAGCAGCAACCTCCTGCTTGTCCTGTAACAAAATTTCTCCTCATTAACTCCGTGGTCAGATAAAGTTACCAGTATATCATTTACTCTCATACTCTCGGCAACAAAGCCCCATCGACCTGTGGAAAATGGTTATAGCACTAAACCTCTATATCAGTGAAGTTTCCCAAACTTTACTTGTCTAACTTCCAAGATAATCTTTATATTCAAAGTTGATAGACAGTCTAACAGACAGGATTGGGACTGTGATAACTGAAACGGTACCTACATATCTCATGTTGGTAGGTTATAGGCATAATATTTCAGGTTGCAATTTTCATTAAGAACAGGATATAATTTGATAAACTGACCTTAAGCTCCAGGAGCTCTCCACACTTAAGACTATCCACATAGTTCTTCAGTTTGACGAGTTCTTCTGTGTTCTCAGCCTGCATGGCCACACTTTTAACGATGGTGTCGTACTGTTTACAAATACCACGATTGAACTTGTGACTCGTGTCCATGATATTAGTCACCAGAATCTCTATCAGGTACCGTGCTCGGTCAATCAACCACTGAAATAAATCGTACAGCCATGACTTACAATAGAGATGGAAAATTAATAATTATGTCTACTACTTGGTTTTTTTTTTTTTTTTTTTTTCATCTGAAATCGTTTTTGGGTTCTTTTGGGGAATGGAAACAATTGATTTTACATTTGATAATCAACTGTAAATTTTCAATTTTTGGCGGGATAGGGGAGCAGGGAGAGAAAAGTTTGCATCCAAACCAAGCACAGTCATAAGGAATGGGGGATTCAGAGGGGGGAACAATGGTTTTATCCAGACCTAGCACAGTCATAAGGGATGGGGGATTCAGAGGGGGAGAAACAAAGGTTTATATCCAGACCTAGCACAGTCATAAGGGATGCGGGATTCAGAGGGGGAGAAACAAAGGTTTATATCCAGACCTAGCACAGTTCTAAGGGATGGGGGATTCAGAGGGGGAGAAACAAAGGTTTATATCCAGACCTAGCACAGTCCTAAGGGATGGGGGTAATCAGAGGGGAGGGAAACAAAGGTTTATATCCAGACCTAGCACAGTCCTAAGGGATGGGGGATTCAGAGGGGGAGAAACAAAGGTTTATATCCAGACCTAGCACAGTCATAAGGGATGGGGGATTCAGTGAGGGAGAAACAAAGGTTTATATCCAGACCTAGCGCAGTCATAAGGGATGGGGGATTCAGAGGGGGAGAAACAAAGGTTTATATCCAGACCTAGCACAGTCCTAAGGGATGGGGGTATTCAGTGAGGGAGAAACAAAGGTTTATATCCAGACCTAGCACAGTCCTAAGGGATGGGGGATTCAGAGGGGGAGAAACAAAGGTTTATATCCAGACCTAGCGGAGTCATAAGGGATGGGGGATTCAGAGGGGGAGAAACAAAGGTTTATATCCAGACCTAGCACAGTCGTAAGGGATGGGGGATTCAGAGGGGAAAAAACAAAGGTTTATATCCAGACCTAGCGGAGTCCTAAATGCCCACCTTGTTAATGTGATTACAGTCCAGTAAGAAGAAATGCATGGGAATAAACACAGGAAGTGATCCAATCTCCGAGGCCTTTTTCTTCAACGTCTCTATTTCCTTGACATATTCCCTGAGGGGACGTTCTCGGCCAACAAACTTTTGTATTTTCTGTACCATTTCCACTGACAGTAAGTACTTGTAGGGATCATACACTGACTTGTAGCTGCAATGTATAACAACATTCAGACTTATCCTGAATATCATTTTTATAATACATTAACACTATCCAATTCCAAAACAATTTGTAAAAGAATACATGTATAAAATTATGATGCAGTCATTCACTTCGGTTTGATAAATATCAACTTCTAAAATATTGATCACTGCAGAAATAAATTTATTATCACTTTTTATATTGCATCAAAAAAATAATTCTTTATAATACGTCCTTATTGTTATTACAATTTTCTCAATATAACAACTGTCCTCATATATTTTACAATTTTCTCAATTAAAACAGTCCTCATAAATTAATATCCTTGTTCTAAAGCCATGGGACCAATATCCTTAATAAGACATCATTCTGTAAGAGGTTTCACTAGTGTAAGATCTTACCTCATTGGTCCAAACTCATTGGCCCTGATGACAGTGCGTATCCGTTCTTTTGATGTGACCACGACTTCCTCCTCAATTAAAACCGTGCAGATGGTGGGATTTTCAGCATCTTCGTAGGTCTGGAACAGCAGAGTGTTGATGCAGGGCAGTTCCTGCACGCTGGTCACCATCAGGTCGATGATGAGGCAAAAAAAATCACAAACATCCGGTATTGGCGGCTTGAATTTCAGGCTGGCTTTGGCTTCATCTTCCTCCTGTGTCATACCAAACAGTTAGATTTAACAACTTAATTGACAAGGTTAAAATATTAAAATATTGTTCATTAATATTTTCCTTGACTGTTCACTCTCAAGTCTTATGTTATATACAGTATATAATAGAATGCTTTTTTTAAAATTCAAATTCATGACTGTACCTGATGTGCCACACACTGGCTGCAAATACGTACCATAAAGAATTTGACAGGGTGCATTTTCTGAGGCAAGGCGAGGCCTCCCATAATGTTGTACACGCCCTCATACTTGTTGCCCTCATAATATTCCTCTACAAGATCGACAAGGTCAAGGATGGAGTTGGTCACACAGGATCTCAGTAAGTTGGACATCAGAGACGATACACTCGCGAAAAAGTGATCCATCTTTATCATCCGCAAATTCTGTAAACACACACAACTGTAATTATAATTATCCTACCTAGTAGGGAGACGTCCTGAGATTTTTTTTCCATCATCTGTGAATTTCAATGGTATAATGGACAATCAATTTTGACATCATTTCTTATTTTGCTGTAGTAACCTCTGGATGCCAACATATTAATTCTGATTCAAAGTCTAAGGATTGAGTAATTACAGAACAACAAAAAAACATCTAAGCCATACCAAACAACAATATACCTGGGCTTTTTACCGGACATGGATTTACCACATATAGATATGGCAATTCTCATTTACCATTTCATTTGTATTTTTATGTAACTGGATTAATGTTATACATATATTTCAATAAATACAATAAATTTCATTAGAGTAAGTAGAGATAGGATTCCTTGAACCTCTAAAATAATCGTCAATCTACCGTAAAAATAATTCCATTTAGCTGTTATGTATAAAAATTTTAAAACCTACTTAAGCCAGCAGGAGTTTAAACTCTAAATCAACAAATTAACAATCATTTGTCCAAGGGAGACAATTAAACTAAGTAATTTATAGATCTGATTTAACACCACGAAGATCCTTGGTTATGTACAAATGTCCACGAACCGGATCATCTTTGGGCATCCATTTCTCCACCTCGTCTCTCTGATTGTCCACGATATCACAGCACTCCTGTAACCACTGGTTACGTAACAAATCTGCTCCGACCCGACTAGAATTCTGCACATGCTTCAGAAATGTTTCCATTGTGACAGGCATTATCTGTCTCAGAGCCGGCAGATCAATCAGACGGAATGCTCCATACCTGCTCAGGGGAAGTAACTCAGTTTAACAAAGTATTGTTATTAAAATCTGTTTAATCTTCTCCTACAAATTTACAGAAAAGGTCTTTTAGTATTTAAGTTTTCTCTTTTATCAAAACTTTCCCAGAGAAAACTAACATTCATTATATTTGAAGTTGATTTTGATAAAAATCTTCACATATATCAGACCTAAATATCCTTCCTTGTTTGATATATCAGATTCTACATATTAAATAAATACTTTCTTCTTTTAAAACCAAGAAAACAGAAAGAAAATGATTTATTTTACAAATACTCAGATGGATTCTAACTCAGCTGTGTAATAGTCAATTGGTCACATCATAGATATCAGGACACATACTTTGTTTCAAAGTGGTACAGGATGGTGTACATAACAGGGTGAGTAATATACAAGTCTTTGGTCATGAACTCTCGTCGTTCTAGGACTGTCTGGTGCCAGGGAAACATCTCTCTGCCTGCAGAGTTTGATGGCTGTAATGATTAAGCATGGTTTCTTTACTATTCACATTACAAAATCTTTAATTGTTTTGTCAAATGAATAAAGTTAAAACTGGTTATTTGCATGCACTAAGAATTTGGTTAAGAATTCTGTTGGAGTCAAATATAATAGTTACAGAATCAGGAGGGCATCACACTTCCAAAAGAACCAGAAAAGTTTTAATTCAGTTTTAATTACCTTACTTGTCACATGAACAATTGGCATTGTTTTTTTTCAGTTAAGAACTATGACAGGTTTTTTTTTGTTACCATTACAAACTTTTATAGGAATAAGATTCTCTAAGATCATACTGGAGTAAAATCTCATTGGGAGGTTGGGGGACCTACTTTCTCTGGCATCCAGACACCAAGTCTCTCCTGCTCTTTAGGATCCAGAAGGATGTAATCCAAGATGGCCTTCTTTATGGCATACTTTCGGTCATCATCCATCTCCTGAAATGTGACACAGATATCTATTTCAAATTTCAGTGTTTCATCTTATCAATTTGGATAGACAATCAATGTTGTGAGAAACATTTTAGATATTCCTCGGTGTTCGTTCTGTGTAAAGTAAAACCTCCCCGACGCTTTAAATTAAGTTCTAAAAGGAATTACCCTAATTAACAAAACTGACATTCGAAGGTAAATTTTTTAATTTGAATTGAAGAGACACAATAAAAAGTTTGTATGGGTCAATGATGACCCTTCAAGTAGGTAATCAGAATTCCTCATCAAACACCTTTATGTAATCACAAATGACCAATGGTGGTCACTGAGCTATGACAGTAAAAATCTAAACATAATTTTCAATAAGATTCAACCTTCTTCTCCATGACACAACTTTCCCGACAAATTGTTACTCTATAATAAAACATTGTGGGTATGGAAATTTATCAAAAGTCATGGTTTATATCAAATATTCAACCAAATCTTTCCTATTATTATTGTACAATATACAATAATGTATATCAAGAACAGACAATAGGGTAAGAATGCTTACCTTGAGGAAATGTTTACAGGCTGCGGGAACAGACTGTCTCAGCTCCTTAGGGACAAAGTTGTAGATCCCCTGGATGGTCTCCTTTGCTACAGGTGAGATCATGAAAGACTCAATGGCTTTTTCCACCAACTGGTAATATCTGAGAGAAACAAAAACTTGATACAGCAATACATTTCCACCAACTGGTAATATCTGAGAGAAGTAAAAACTTGATACAGCAATACATTTCCATCACTGGTAATATCTGAGAGAAAAAAAACTTGATACAGCAATACATTTCCATCACTGGTAATATCTGAGAGAAGTAAAAACTTGATACAGCAATACATTTCCATCACTGGTAATATATTGTGGGAAGAAAATTTCCATACAGAAATACCTGTAATCTGACCCAATTATTATCTGATGGGAAAAAATCTTTATATAGGAATGAACCTGTTCTGATCAACATGATGTCTTAACTTGTACATAATCTATCAACAATGTGCAGGAAAACAATACACTATATGTAGAATAGGTATCTATCTAATTACATACCTTGGTTTGTCATCCTCCGTGGGAGTGCAGGGACGGGACAGCCCATGGGTAGAGTAGTAAAATGGAGGGAAGACGACATTGAGAACTGACAAGGTCATGTCATCATAACCCGTTGATAGTCGAAGTTCATCATCATCAACACCGCCAGAGTCTTCATCAGATTCATTTTCTATAAAAAGAGCAAGAAAACAGTTTTATTTCTAAATTATTCACTCCACTGATTTACTGTATATAAATATCACTACAACTAAATTGTAATACCCACACAGCACTACAGTAAAGTGTATTTCACTTATTTCTTGAATAGAGTTATAAGCAATGAACTGCATGTCTGGTTATCTACAAGAGTTATTGCCCTTCCTACAATCTAGACATGAATCATACACAACATGAATAGGTCTTGTAAGGACAGAAGGACAGAACGATAGAAAAGTTGGAGGAAGGGTCAAGGCCTGTCCTTGTGATATAAGTAAAATCTGTATGTAAACTTTTTTAGGTAATAGGATAGTGTTAGGAAAGATAAAGGAAAGAAGTGACAGAAGGGGTAACAGGAGGGTCACAGGACAGGTAATGGGGCGACAGGAGGGGGAACAAAGGCGATGATGGGAGAAATGACAGAAGGGGTAACAGGAGGGTCACAGGACAGGTAATGGGGCGACAGGAGGGGGAACAGAGGGGATGATGGGAGAAATGACAGGAGGGGTAACAGGAGGGTCACAGGACAGGTAATGGGGTGACAGGAGGGGGAACAGAGGCGATGATGGGAGAAATGACAGGAGGGTATGGGAGGGATGACAGAGGCGATGATGGGAGAAATGACAGGAGGGTAATGGGAGGAATGACAGAGGGGTGAAGGGAGGATGACATGCGGGAAATGGGAAGGGTGCCAAAAAGGGTATTGAAGGTTATGGGTGGATTATATAAGGGATGACAAGTCGGGTGATGGGACAGATTCTGACCTTGTGACTGGTCTTCTGTAAGTACAGGCATGTCGTGAATGAACGGTGGAGAAGAAGGACGACCACTGTCCACACTGTCATCAACACTGACAGAGCTGAACCTTGTTGTCTCATCTCCACGAGCTCCACCAGAACTTTGGGTGTAGTGTTGTGAACTTCCTGTGTAACTTTGTGACAGAGTTCCTGAAAAAATAAATCCAAACATTTTTTTATATCTTACAAATGGATAAAGGAGTTACGAGTGGGTCTATGTACCATTTGAACCGACAGAAAACAAACTATTACGGACAACACCCCATTAATGATAACCTTTGACCCTGTACCTATAACCAAGGTGTTAACCATATACACTTCACAAAATACTCCTGTACTACAATGTAGTATTGTTACTTTCCTTGAATAGCACTAGGTGTTAGAGAACTTAAATTATCAATGGTGCAGAAAAGAAAATAGAAATAAATTAAGCAAGGGTTTACTTAGAACACCCATCCACACCTTCATCTCCTTATTTTCAATGACAGTGTATACCAGTTACGGTGATCATAAGATATCTTGTGCACGCTTTTTATTTCAGAAGCAACAAAATACAGTGTAAAATTTGGTAATGTGATGCTATGGAGAATATGAACTCTATATCTAGGCAGAGTTTCATAAAATATCTTACACTTAAGCTTTGCATGTATACAAGTCTGCACAGACAAAATGATTACTATGTTGGTAATCTTACTGTATGAACAGAATTGAGTAAAAATATACAATAAATAAGATGCTTTTGTTAAACTTTTAATTAAATTATTCCAGTACCAGTTTTTGAGATCTGTTAAAAGGTAGTAAAACTAGGGGGTCATACAGCAGTGAAAATGATCAACCACGATAAAATCACCAAGTACTGAATTTAAACCAAATCCAAATAAGAAAAAAGAAACATTGAGATTTAAATCGTTTTTGTTCAGTTCCACGTGAGTAAATACAGCCCCAGGTTTTTTCAATCAAGAGATGAACATCCATCATTATTTTTGACATATTGGAAATGCTGTTTTAATGGGTTGGATATTAGAGGCAGACAAAGAAAGGGTTTGTTTTCATTAAAAAAAAAGCTGCTTAATGTCATATTCTTATCTAATATCATGTTGATTTTTGGAATATTTCAATTAATGTCATGATTTCTTTTCAGTAACTTTCATTCAATGTACTGTATGCTTAATGGAAACATTTCTTTATTTTGTACAATTCATATTAACATAGATTTTAAAGTATTTTTTTCCACTGAAAAGCAAAGTTTCTTTTAATATCACATTTTGCTTTATATCATGTCTACACCTGTGATAAGACAAAGTATTAATATTTGTGTTTTTTTCATACACTGTACATTTATATATAACATAGGTAAGTCCTATATATAAAAGCCATGTACCTTTAATTGAACCAATGAAAAGTGATAGAATATTCATGAGAACATGATATATTAAGGTAACACCTACCGTATTAATACCGTTAAACCCTATAGGGCCCAACAATTAATCTCTTGTCGCAAAGTAAGGCATAGACATATAACAGAATAATTAACGATAATATATTATGGATGGGCTTATTACAGTCACACATGGGATTATTATAGAAATAAATACAGTACATATGAGTCTGACCACAGAAGTATCCACATGGACATTTGAGATATGTTTGACAAATGTGGTAATAACGACACACAATAGAAAAAATGTGTTGTTTGTAGGATCAGACAGTCAGCACAGAAATAAATGATTAATAGTAAAGCTGCAGGGCAACACTGATCTCCAATATTGGATCAGAGCTAGTCGAGAACTCTTTCAAATTCAAAATGGTTAAAAGATTTAAACAAGTAAAAGTGGAATATTTAAAGTCTATTAATCTTAAATGGTTTAAAAGGTTTTTCTGTAACCTAATTCCTAAAGAAAACACAGGCTTAAGTCCAACACCGGCCAGTTTGTAAACACTATATAGAAAACAGGCTAAATGGGGATCACAACGGAACTCTTGATTCAATGTAAAACGACCAATGATCTTAGCACTCTGGTTATTTATATGGAGAAACTTAGGCTGACTTTAATTACCAAAATGGAGTGTGACTGATGAAATTTGATATATATTGCATGAAAATAGAAAAATCTTTGCCTCAAATATTGTTTTTTTGATGTAAATATTGTGCAAGTGTGATTGATTTGAAATTCGTTTAAAGCATTGATAGCCCTTAAATAGTCCGGTATGAAAGTAATCTATTAATCAGTACTTCTACAGAAAGTCTAGGTTAACAATCCCTAATCAATGACCTCTTGAGATAAACTTCTAAGTCTGGTTTTACCATATGACACAGTTATTTATAATTTCCAGCAATATTTTTATAGTTAATTATTTCAAAGTTACATTAGATACCTGAAGTTTTTGTCTTGACAAGTCTCCATGAATTTGTTAAGGTTCACCTGAGAACTAACATTATCCTAATGTTTTAGACCGACATTATCTTAATGGTCTAGATTGAAATTATCCAAATAGTAGATACTCTGTAAACTAAGAGTTTTATCATTATATACAGAAGACACAGCTTAGAATTTAATTGACAATTTTTTGAAATGATTAGATATCTATTTTGCATGAAATGCTGATTGTGTTAAAAATGAAAGTAAAAATAGATTTCTTCTGTATGGGAAATGTAGAAAATCTCTCCCGCCATTCAATAAGTGATTGTTTCTAATATCTTATGAGAATCATTCCGAAACTTTGATAAAATTCTTAAAACATAACTGTAAGGAAATGATTAAGTTAGAAATGTTTGATGACATCTGTTTAATGGTACTTTATAATAACTGGTGTATTTAACTTGTCAGAACTTTACATAGTAGTCCCTGGAGATAAGATCACAAACCTTCACAACAAACATTGCCAGTTCATCACCTGGTTAAATAATGACCGATATCAAAGCCCCGTTTACGTTCACTTTCACTGAATTTTACACTATATCAACTAACAAGATTTGATAACCTGCAGTTGTCAAAGGCTTTTTTCCGAACATTTCACTGAGATTGGAATTTGTGATTTTATACAATAAATAAATGTAATATGGATTTTGAAAAACTGACCAGCTTTATAGTATGAAAGTAAAAGCTAACCCTGCTGTAGATACGGAAGGGTGTCCAGGTGGAGTGCTGAATTATGACTGTTATAAATAGCTAATACATACCTGTGTGAATAGGCTTATTACCTTATACTAGATCAACATACAGGTGGGGGAACAGCTCATATAGTGATAGCCATTCTGTACCTCTTACAAATAGGATGACCCGTGTATACATACATATTTGTGTATTGGCCAATATAAAAGTAATATACAGCATCTGTGAGGTTCATACAGACCGACTACACTCTCTAATGATTAAAGTCGCCTCTCTATGTGCCCTCATCACAGACTTAGGAAATATCTATAGAGAGGCTTATACATACCCTCATCACAGACTTAGGAAATATCTATAGAAAGGCTTAAACATGCCCTCATCACAGACTTAGGAAATATTTATTGAGAGGCTTAAACATGCCCTCATCACAGACTTAGGAAATATTTATTGAGAGGCTTAAACATACCCTCATCACAGACTTAGGAAATGTTCATAGAGAGGCTTAAACATACCCTCATCACAGACTTAGGAAATGTTCATAGAGAGGCTTAAACATGCCCTCATCACAGACTTAGGAAATGTTCATAGAGAGGCTTAAACATGCCCTCATCACAGACTTAAGAATATTCATAGAGCGGCTTATACATACCCTCATCACAGACTTAGGAAATGTTTATTGAGAGGCTTAAACATGCCCTCATCACAGACTTAGGAAATGTTCATAGAGAGGCTTAAACATGCCCTCATCACAGACTTAAGAATATTCATAGAGAGGCTTATACATACCCTCATCACAGACTTAAGAAATATCTATAGAAAGGCTTATACATACCCTCATCACAGACTTAGGAAATGTTTATTGAGAGGCTTAAACATGCCCTCATCACAGACTTAAGAAATATCTATAGAGAGGCTTAAACAAACCGTCATCACAGACTGAAGAAACATTCATAGATATAATTAAACATTACCTCATCACAGAATAAAGAAATATCTATAGATATGCTAACATACCAATTGCAAATTAGAAAATATTTTTTTCAATCATTATGCTTATAATTATGTCTGATAAAAAAGCAACACCACATACAAAATCATAAAAGTTAGGATGTCTGTCTGTTCATCTGACATTAAATTATACATCATGTAATATCACTGTAAAAAGAAACTGTTTTATATCAGTGTCGAGTAGTATCAGCCATGAAGAATGTCTGTTCAGGTTTCTAACAAAGTACAGGGAACCTGACAAACAGTGCTGATGAAACATGCATAATTGATGGTCCAAAAATGTTGATGTATTATAATATTGTGGGCTTAGTCCACAACAGGGTACATGCCTAACACAAGGTATGATTGTAGTTCACCACATAAAACAATTGCTGATTGTCACAATTTTGTCCATTAACCTATCTTTTGTCATCTAAAGTTAACAGAAAATTACATTAGCTCCATCTCATTTTTGGAAACCATTTTCAATCCACTGCTGGAAGTTTAACCCTCTCGTATTCAATGAAAAAGGTAACACTCTTGTATTCAATGAAGGAGGTAACCCTCTTATATTCAATGAAGGAGGTAACCCTCTTATATTCAATGAAGGAGGTAACCCTCTTATATTCAATGAAGGAGGTAGCCCTCTTGTATTCAATGAAGGAGGTAACCCTCTTATATTCAATGAAGGAGGTAGCCCTCTTGTATTCAATGAAGGAGGTAACCCTCTCATATTCAATGAAGGAGGTAACCATCTTATATTCAATGAAGGAGGTAACCCTCTCATATTCAATAAAGGAGGTAACCCTCTTATATTCAATGAAGGAGGTAACCCTCTTATATTCAATGAAGGAGGTAACCCTCTTATATTCAATGAAGGAGGTAGCCCTCTTGTATTCAATGAAGGAGGTAACCCTCTTATATTCAATGAAGGAGGTAGCCCTCTTGTATTCAATGAAGGAGGTAACCCTCTTATATTCAATGAAGGAGGTAACCCTCTTATATTCAATGAAGGAGGTAACCCTCTTGTATTCAATGAAGGAGGTAACC